ATTTTATTCTACTTATATATGGCATATTTGGTCCATTAAATCAGACAAGATTCATAAATTTTCTTGCAGTTTGTCTACTTTAAACGTGTCCGATTTTCATTATCCCAGCATGCCAAACACAATTTGGATTTTTCGTTGATGTGCAAATAGCAGTGTTCTAAAAAGGCAAAAAGTGGGATGAGGCGGCAAGGTCAAACCTTACGAATCTAGGCTTAAAAATGCAATTTTTTTTTAAATTTTTAATATTATTCAATAATTCTGAGATCATTGAATAAATAAATAAAATTATACAAAAATCGTAAATTGTATAATTACTTTCTCATTTCTATAACTAGACAATTGAAAATTGAAAGCACATTATCCTTCTCAAAAAAATGGGCCCAAGAAATTTCTCACACCTAGCGCCTAGGCCTTTTTAACCTTTAGGTCCAAATACAAATATAGTTATTAAATCCTTAGCGTTGTATAATAACATTCCTCTTGCAGTAACAGTTAATACGAATAAGAAAGTTGCGTATTCAACTCCTATTGCAGCTGCTACCGTTGTTTTCTTGATCTACCTAATTGGTCAAGGAAGTTTTTCTAGTAGTATGCCTCTAGAAATTTCTGGTACCATGATTGTATTCCGATACAAAAAGAAATTGAAAAAAATAATAATATAATATTTCACGTCTAGGCCCAACTAGCTCGCAATAAATGATCATTAAGAGGAGTAGATTTCCTTTTTCACGCCTGGTCCATATGAGAATGTTTTCAAAATGCCTCATGCCTAAATGCTCCTAAATGATATATTTTTACGCCTTTTGGAACACAACTGAATAACAACTCACCACTTAAAACAAAACAAAACAAAACAAAACAAACAAATAAATAAATAAAAATTACCATCACTCTATATGTTTTTTGAAGAATTAAAATATAATAAGGTTTGGGGTTTATGCCGTGCCAATAAAATTAGCAACTTAGTGCTTGGGCTTGGGCTTGAGTCTAGTGATGCTTCAGCCCACCAATATATAACCCAGACTTGATAATATTTTTAGCTATTGGGCTGGCCCAATCAAATCCACTAGGGCCTCGTAGAAGTTTTTTGAAGCTTAACACAGCTCCGACATTGAGGAACTGCAGTCGGCGTCGCTTGATGTTGGAGCCGGTGGCGCAACCGCGTTGAGGGGCTGCAGTCGGCGTTGTTCGATGATGCAGCGTCTCTTTCCTTCGAGGTCTGCCGTTTCCAATTTCTTCATCTCCCATTCGTTTTCAATGCTCGATTATCTCTTCATATCCCAATTTCTTCATCCTCGAGGTTTGCCGCTTCTAATTTCTTTATCTCCGAGGTCTGAACGGTGGTGTGAGTATGGGTATCGTGGCTGCAGCACCTAGATTGCGTTGGTGGTGTTTTTTTTTCAATTGTTGGATGGATCGTAGTGGCTTGCGTGGTTTGGTAGTTTTACGGTGATGGTGGGGTGAGGCGGTGGTACTGTGGAGGTGAAGAGGTTGTGGTGTTCCTACTGGGTCGCTTGTTTAGGCCTAGTCGGCCGTTTTTTCTTCTTTACCGGCGTTGGTGGTTGTGATGTGATTTTGCAGTGAGGGAAAGTGATGGTGGTTGTGCAGCCGGTGATAGTGTGTTGTGGTGGTGGTGGTGGTGACGTCTTTGTGGATTCTTGGATGGGGATAGTGTAAACGGAGATGGTGGTGGTGGTGGTTGTGGTGGTGGTGGTGTGCTGTGGGTTGTGAGCTGTGTTACAGTGTTGTAGTGATGTGTTGCGGGCGTCGTGGTGTGGTGGTGGTGGGTTTGGCGGTGGCATGGGGGGTTTTGTGGTGGTGACGATTGCTAGAGGTCATGGTAAGTTGGTGTATTGTTTTGTGTGTGGTTGGTGTAGCCGAATCTAAGTTGGTGTATTGTTGTGGTGGTGGCAGGACGGCGATGTGGCTGGTGGCAGTGATGACTCATGAGGTGGTGGTCACGGAGGCGGTCACAGTTGTCAGTGGTGGTCACAGAAGTCGATGGTGGTCACAGAAGTCGGTGGTGGTGACCTTAAAATTG